AGGGGTGCGTCCATCGTGGAGGTCGAAAACAAGAAAGAAAATGTCTGAAGCGCCGAGCGGCAAACCTGGACCGCCGGGCCGGAACGTGTCGTGTCGGCAATGATGTCAAATTTGTCACGCCGAAATAGGGAGTCGTACGAGGTGTTTCGATTCTCCCAGAAAGCCAGCCAGCTCTCCTTATATAATTTATTACCCGCCAACGTCTCCAACAACTTACAGCGCTTAATCCCGCTTTCTTTCTACTGTCATGGGTGCTATCAACTGGGCTGTTCTTCTCCTAACCCACCCCTTTGAGTTCAAGACTCTGCTCCAATTCTGGCTGTACCATGAACAGAAGCGCGACATCAAGGCCATTCAGGAGCACCCGACCTCAGGTTGGGACAGGGAGAGCATGCAGCGGTGTTGGCACTTTTTGGACCTCACAAGCAGGAGTTTCGCAGCCGTTATCAAGGAACTTGATGGTGACTTGGCAAGAACTGTGAGTCTCTATCCTGGATTCACCATTTAATTTGCGTTTCCCCCGGGTCTTTGTTGCTTGAAGCATTGTTTCAAGGTTCTGAGAAAGAGGTGGGGTGGCGCCGCTACACGCTATCTTCTCTGACCGAATTCTTTTCTCGGATGCGCTCAGGAGGTCGCGTATGATGGACAGGGCAAGGCTGACCCGATTTCTATTTCTAGATTTGCATGTTCTACCTGGTACTAAGAGGGCTAGATACGGTTGAAGACGACATGTCAATTCCAGATGACATTAAGCAACCCATCCTGCGTTCATTCCATGAAAAGACTGTGACGCCAGGATGGAAATTCGACGGATGCGGTCCCAACGAAAAGGACCGGCAACTGCTCGTCGAGTATGATACCATAGTCGAGGAAGTGAACCGCCTATCACCCCAGTAAGCTTGTCCTAGGCCCATACCCCAGACCCCAAAACTTACACGTCACCAGTTACAAGGCCATTATCGTCGACATTTGCCACAAAATGGAGACCGGCATGGCCGATTATGCCCATAAAGCCGCAACTACCGGTTCAATATACCTCGAATCCGTTGCCGAATACGATCTCTACTGCCACTACGTCGCAGGCCTCGTAGGCGAAGGCCTCTCCAGAATCTTTAGCTCCTCTGAAAAGGAGGGCGAATGGCTCGCCGAACAACTCGAACTGTCCAACAGCATGGGTCTCCTCCTGCAAAAGACCAACATCATCCGAGATTACCGAGAAGACACAGACCAACAACGCTACTTCTGGCCACGGGAGATCTGGGGACAGTATGGCTTCAAGGAGATGAAAGAGATATACGAACCACAGAATGCCGAGCGCGCACAGTGGGTACAGAGTGCCATGATCATCGACGCGTTGCGGCACGCAGAGGACGCTCTGGACTACCTCAAGCTGTTGAAGAACCAGAGTGTTTTCAACTTCTGCGCTATCCCCGCTACCATGGCCATTGCGACCCTCGAGCTGTGCTTCATGAACCCCACAATGCTCCAACGGAATATCAAGATTCGCAAAGCCGATGCTGCATCACTCATCATGAGGTCCACAAACCCGAAGGACGTGGGCCTCATCTTCCGCGACTTTGTGCGCAAAATCCACGCTAAAGCCGTCCCCACCGACCCCAACTTCCTCAAACTCTCAGTGGCATGCGGAAAGGTACGTGTATAATTCTCACACATTCTCTCTCTTCTCCCAGCCAACTCACCAACCACCCCTTTCACTATTACTCCTTTACCTAGATCGAACAATGGTACGAACACAACTATCCGACATTTATCAAGATCGTCGAAACGCCCGAAGGCACCCGGCCACAGATGGACCCTGAAGACGTACGCACAAGGACCTTCAAAGCCATCGACAAGCGTAACGCCGCACTTGCCAAGCTCAACCCCCAGGCTTCCAAAGGCGGCTCCAAGCTCCCCATGCCCGATTTTAGCAACTCGCAAGGCGCAGATTCGGCAGTGGGCACGACCGAACTGTTCATGTATATGCTCGCCGCCATCACTTTGGTCGTAGTGCTGTCAGGCGGTGTAGTGTACATCATTCTGAAGATGGTGGGCGAGGATAGTCCGTTGAAGGCCGCGACGCGTGGGACTGCGTTTGGCGAGCTCTGAGAGCTTTGATGGGAGTGTGTGAGCTCTGATCCTCCTCGTGTGACTGGAGAGGGCGCTCGGGGCGTTTTGTGTGTAGGGGGGAGAGTGTATTCTGAATATGTACAGGCCACTAAAAGGCGTGTCTTCGCTTCTTGGTTCTGCTTCGTTATTATTATTCCATTCGGGCTGCTTGATATCCTATTCTGAACTATTAGGTGTACGTAAGTAATAAATCGCGGTGTTTTCTACCGGCAAAGTGTGGCCTGCCGCTCAACTCGGATATGTTTTGCGGGGGTAAACAAATTGATACAATGGCAGTGGTCAATTGATAATTCCGTCCAAAACATTTGATAACCTATGCATCCTATGTGCTTAACCGACGCTGTGTTCAAAGGAAAGTGAAAGTTCAGTAAAACAAAACCGATGGGAGCCCACAAACAAAATGAGTCGAGCCAGGTTCGAACTGGCGACCTTCTGTGTGACTAGCAGCGAAATGTGGGCGGAACCGCTCACAAGTCGCTGCGAGGTGTTAGACAGATGCGATAACCAACTACGCCATCGACCCGTTCTGCAGGGCTTTAAAGTAGCTTTTGATAGTGTAGCCATGGTGTGAGGCCTAACTGTTGCGGTTTAAACAGCTAGTCTTCAGTGAAGCTCCTCATCTGATGCCCTCTCTTTATCCAGAAGTAAAGGTTCAAACCGAAGTGCCTGTTTCCTCTATTGTTTTGTTCAAGAGTCTCATGCAACTTGTTTAGTAATGGTACCTGGAATCCAGACTCTGCTTCAAGGTCCCCGTGGTGATGGAAGGTCGCTTGAAGGCTTCTGGCGTCTCAATTTATCAGTGAAACGCCACTTGGTAGTATGCTGAGAGGCGAAGGAAGCGCACTTGCACTTCTGGTCGCACGTACGACTCGGAGGTGTATGGCAATTCCTATGCGTACGAGACACCTTTTATTACCTTTCGAAATGTGAGGACACCCAGGTGAGCACTCCCATCTGTTTCGCCCACTTGTGTCTTATGACACCCCTCGCCTCTCAGATCCTTAACCACCAGCTTATGGCGCTGGCAGAGCCGACGGCATTCACACTCCTCTTTCTCTTCATACTATCTGCAGGTCTACTGTCTTACTATCTCAGCTGGGAAAGCAGGAAGGTAGCATCTAGGCTGCATCCATACATGTACATCCTGCTTGATTTGTCAAACAGCTTCGACACATCCCCAATGCAGGGCATTCCTCGCCCTTGCTCTACTACTACGACGCTCTTCGATACGGTATTCACTGCCGAAAGTTCGTCGACAATGGATTCAAAAGGTAGGGTATTCAACATCCAATTACACAGACCTTCCATTGATAACATCGTAGACTAAATCGCCGATGATCAAAGTCCCAACACTGTTTGGATGGATGGTTCTCATTCGCGGAGAGGCTCTTTTGACCGAGTGGCGGACAGCTCCAGGTACCTTGTTGAGCGGACAAGATGCAAAAGCGGATGTGGGTGCCATTCGTTCACTTGGCGCCGCGTTGAGACTTGTCCTAAGGAATCTATGCTTTAGGTCCTCCAGATGATGTACACCATGGACCCAAGGGTAGTACACGATGGACTCCATCTTCGCCTTGCCCGCCACCAGCTAGCGAAGGCAACACCTGATCTGGTCCACCTGCTTAACGAAGAGGTTGTAGCTGCACTTAAAGACTACATTGCTACTCTACCAACAGACTCTGATGGTTCGTGGGCCAGTCCTTCGCTAGTCTACTTGTCTAATCCGATATATATACGTCCGTAGGTTGGTCGGAATTCGCCCCTCATAACACAGTCAGCAAAATTGTCGCTAGAGCCAGCAACCGAATGTTAATCGGGCTTCTTTTGTGTACGTTGGTAATTCTCAATCGTGATGTCTAGTATCTTATGGCTTTCAGGTTGCAATGCGGATTTCATCCAACTATCTACTAACTACATGTTCGAGGTCTTGAGGACATCCACGCTCCTTCGAATGCTTCCTCTGGGTGCACGACGGTACGTCTACATGCATTGAAACTGAAAATCTTATCGCGCAATCTTAAGTCCTCGGTTAAGATTGGTGAATTGGTTCTCCCCGATGATGGATCCCTACGTCGCACAAGCCTCAAAGTACATTGTGCCCGTGATTCGAGAACGACGGGAGAAAATGGCGTTTCTGAATGATCAATACGTCAAGCCGGTGCGCTTTGGACCACCTAGGCCGTTTTTAACATGCTAGCAGCTAACTTGTGTGTAGTTCGACCTGCTCATGTGGCTCGTGGACGAAGCAGAAGCCCAAGGAAGACACACGGATGAAAGAATCCTGGTCATTTATATTCTCATGTTCAACTTTATAGCCATACACACAACAAGTATAGTACGTTCTCCTCCCAAACTCCTGCGAGTTGTTCAGTGAACCATTTCACAGACCATGTCAAACCTCATATCTGACATTGCGGAACGCCAGGAATGTCAAGCTATTCTACGTGAAGAAGCACGGATGGTAACCGGGGAATTTGGATGGGGGAAAGACGCGCTGGATAAACTCGTCAAACTTGACAGCTTCGTCAAAGAGTCCATGCGTCTTCGCCCAATCGCTTCGAGTATGTCATTTTTTATTTTCAACGGCTGGTTCCTGGGGTGTATGTGTATAAACATGGCATTGAATGCCAACTCTCTCTTTTCTACCAGTTATGCTCGAGCGATTTGTCAAGCAAGACTACACGTTCTCGAACGGAACTACACTTCCAGAAGGAACGCTGTGGACCTTGCCCACGCGAACAGCCAGTACCCTGACCCAGACGAGTTTAAACCCTGGCGCTTTTGCGATATCCACCAAGAAACAGGCAGGCCTACCTTTGCGACTACCACAGGCCTAGATTTTGTGTCGTTTGGTCATGGAAAATATGCTTGTCCGGGAAGATTCTTCGCGGTATACGAGCTGAAGCTTATAGCGGCCCACTTTTTGCTGAAATATGAGTTACGGCTCAAGGATGGAGTACGCCTGCCGGACTTTGTGCTTGGTCCTGCTATAATTCCCAGTCTCAGAGGGACAATCTTGGCCCGTAAGCTGTAGACTTACAAATCATATAATGTGTGTCTATTCAAAGCAGTTAGCTAGACCTGCCCTTACGGCGCTTGATCGCGGGCACTATATATAAATAAAAGATCCATTCAACGGTACATCAGTTTATACGAGGGTACATAGCGAAACAAATTGACAAGATGGGTGCAGAATACTGTTAGAGGTCAAGTCCTTCACCAATCGCGGACATAAAAGTTTCATATGTGATCAACTTGTCCAGGGGATTTTCTTCCAATGATGTTCCTTCCTCATCATCATCATCATCATCTTGACTTACTTGCTTCTTGTAGGCCTTTGTGAACAAGCGGAACAATGGGATAATCTTCTTGACATTGATGTCAGAGAATTCGTTTGGGATGGCCTTTTGAATAGCGGACCAGATGACTCCCTTGGTCCCTTTGGTCAACAAGGTGTTCTTCCAAGTCATAACGGAGGTCATGTCCCTGCTTGTCCACTGAGCCAGACGCGTGTGCTTAGTCTCCTTTCGCCTCTTCGCGAGGTCTGACTCGCCAAAATTGTAATGGCAGGCACCCCAGACAAGAATACAGAAAAGGGACTCAAGGTCATGTCGCAGAAGGTGTCGGGTATGCGGAGAGTCAAGGAGTTCGAGCGCCATGAAGGGCAGTGTACCAGTCTGTTGGTTGGCTGTGGGCTCAGAGACTTGGACCTCTTCAACGAAAGAAGCCATGTCCCAATCGTTGAGAACCCCTTTGATCTCACTGGAGACTTGGCCAACCGAATCCTCTGTCTCCTTTCTCCAAAACAGGAGGTTGTTCTCGCTGAGATCCCGATGAAGAACCTTTCCTTCGCTGTACGATGCATAAAGACCTAGAAAAACATGGTTAGAAATGGGGGGTAGGGGCACTAGGCGAAGAGCTTCACATACATTTGACACAATGGAGCCACACTATGAAGAATTCTTCGGCACTATCCACACGCCACAATTCGCTGCACAATCGACCAGCAATAACGTGCATCCCACGCTCGCTGTAGCAATTAAACGTCTTGTCCTTCATCAAGCGATCTGGCATCCCCGGGATATTGAGCCACGGTAATCCAAGCTCGTGGATGTCGCAGACGCGATCGAAATATACGCAAGGCAGATGGTCGTGCCACTTCTTGTCGAGGGTTTTGGATAAATGCTTGATGATGTCGAGCTCCCCTATCCTTACGCGTCCGGGTTGCCAGCTGATTTTTAGAGCAAGGACCAAAGTCTCTCCTGGCTTGGTCGAGAGTCTGGCCTTGACCTGCAAAACAGCAGTGACGCGCCCAACGAGCGCCGGAGTCAGTAGTATGACCTTGGTGACCTCGAAGCTGTCCCAAGCTGTCTTCTTGACCTCCTCTTCCTCGATGATAGTGGGGAACTCGAAGAAAGAGCCGACAAGCTTCTGGGTTGGATATTCGAGTTCCTTCTTCATGTCGTCGGTGATGGATTCTTCGGGAGTGAGGACCGACCAAGGGCGTTGGAATGGATTGAAGCCTGAGATACCGCGAAGGTCGTTCTGATACATGGCGTAGAGAAGCAAAGCAAGCAGCTCGGGGTTTTGAACTATGTTGAACCATGGCGACTGAAGCACGAGCATGCGATCGAAGTAAGAGAATGCAATGTTGAGTTTGTTGATTGATAGTCCAGTGGTCCATACGCGGCATGACCCAGTGAGGCACTCTATGGCGTAGTTCGCGAGCTGGATTTTCTCGGCAGTCATGGTATTGTTGTTCGTCCTGCGGGTTCGTTTGGCCTCCCCGGTTGCAAAGCTTCCCGGTCCTTCGCTGCGTTTGCGCTTGCTTCCGGTGCGCGCTTGCTCAGACTCCTCGGCGATGCTCGTCAAACCGGTGCTGGCGATGCTCTGGGAGGCCAGGCCCAGCGACTCGTTTGAGGGAATGCACGTGTCCGACTTTCTGTTCCTTTTGTTCTCATTGTTCAAGCTGGGGTACTCGTAGTTGAGTGGCTCGGGAATATCCTTAATGCAGTTCAACGCCTCGTAATTTATGAGGCTTTTAAATTCCGCTGCGCGTTGTATGGTCTTCCAACTGGCTTTGTGATCGTAGAAGGCGGGCTTCGGAGCTTTGACCATGGCACCATCAGGTTTAAGGTATCGATGTTCTGGTAGCTTGAACTCATTGTTGAATGCATCGAGCTGAGTCTGTGTGTTCCAGAAGACGTCGGCATATGAAGTCGGATCCGTGGCATTGTCGGACACCGCCACGGTTGCGGGCTCAACAAATCTGAGTACAGCGGCCAGGAGGGGCTCGCAGAGATCGAAGAAGGGCTTATACATCGACGTTTCTTGCGCATTATCAATATAATATGCCAGATCACGTAGCTTCCTTGCGTCCAGGTCCCACTTGTGAGCAAGAATCTTCTCCACAGTATGCTTATCGACTCCTAGGATGTGCTCTGCAAAAACAGGGATACCGATGTCGTTTGTAGAACAGCCTTTGATCCTCTGGCGAAGAATCGGGTTCGTCGTGGTCAGTCT